GGGCCGAGGAGGGGGTCCTGCTTCCCCTCCTTTTCTCTAGGCTGAGCCACAGCATGTCCTTGAATCCTATTTCCCAGCGGATGCCAGGACAGCAGGCCCTGGGGGAGTTCTCTCTCGAGCCTTTCAGAGGGACCAGAGGTCTAGCAGCCACGGGGAACTCAGATTCCTTGATTGTGTGGGGCATGAACTCTCCCAGCTGAGAAGGGGCACAAGGTGCCAACAGGGCCCAGTGGCCAAGGGAGACGCGGCTTGTCGAAGGGAGAACCTGGGCCCTCGTCTTCCCTTTCAGGGCGGGCAGCTGACCTGCCCCCTGGACAGGCTCCCAAGCACGGCGGAGGCCAAACCTTCCCGGCTGCCGCCCACCCAGCCACGCTGACTTGGAAGCTTGAGCGTTCAGCGGCCTCCATCCTGCCCGGAAGGACCAGGGACCTGGCCCCGGCTTCCCCGCAGCGCCCTCGGGGGACGTCTCAGTGCCTCCCGGAGCCCGGACCAATGCACCAGAGCTGAGGGCCCAGAGGTGTCAGCGTGGCCGGGCAATTGTGTGAGGACGACGCCCCACAAGTTTGCGGCCAGGGCCCAGTAAACCCCTAGGGGTGGGAAAGCGTCGGCCCAGCCAACGGGTAAAGCCCCCTTCACCCGTGACCCAGCGGCCACGACCCCGCGTCCTCATCTCGGGCTGGGACCGCCTCTGCGTCTGGCCTGAGCGGGACCGTGGGATCCCGGGGAGCCCCGCCTCGCTGCATTGACGAAGCCCAGGAGGAGCGACAGTTACCGCTTCCGGTCATGACCGGAAGTGCCGGGAACGGCATTCGTTCTCCATACGAGATGATGCACTTCCTGCCTGGGGCGGCCGCTGTTCTCGCGGTTTTCGGCAGGTGGCGCTGGGACCACGGGAAGCCGGCCCGGCTGTCGGTTAGTCGTCGAGCATTCTGGGAATTGCAGGCCTGGCCCCTCCTCTTCCTGTTCTTCTTGGTCAATTCCGGTCTTGGTTCCCCAACAAATGCCGTCGTTTCCGGGGCCGCTTCCGAGCGGGACCCAAGGGCCGGGGCGTAGAGTAGAGGGCCGGGCGCATGCGCACAGGGCTACACCTCCCGACAGGCGTCGGGAGTGGCGGCCCAGTGCCTTGTGGGAGTTGTAGTTCTGCAGGCGCAGAAGCCGCGGCGCTCGGCCGGCAGAGCACTCGGTTTCCCAGAGGGCTGAGCGCCCGTGCGGCGGCGACCAAGATGGAGATGGCCGTGCATCCTTGAGCCGGTAGGTTTGTGCTGAGGGAGGACGGGCCACGGTGGCCGGCCGAGCCTCCGGAAGGTCACCGAGCGCAGCTTTAACACTTGAGCTCGGAGGCCCCGCTGTGCTCGCCGACCCCCGTACCTTGCGACCGGGCCCTTGGCATCCACCAGCATCCTCTTGAGGCCCGGACCCGGGCCTGTCCAGCCCGACTTCGCACCGAGAGCCAACTTGGCACTGAGAGTTCGTTTTTTCCCTGGCGGAGAGGTCTTGCTGGCACATAGAGTGGAGAAAGGCCGGGCTCTGCATTCATGTGGAGAAAGAGACGGCTTCCTTCAGCCTCCGGACATGAAGGAGTCAACTCTGCCCTTCCACTCATTGCCGGATCTCGCCGAGAACCCCGAGAACGGACTCCCGGAGTCCCTGTCTTGCAGCCCGATCCCCGCTCCCCCTCGGAGTTCCCCGCTGACCAGGCTGCTTCTGGCCGCGGCGGCGTTCTCCTGCAGAGGACGGGAGTGCGAATCTGGGAAGCAGGGGTCTGGTTGGAACTCCAGCTTCGTCTGCAACATACTGTGTGACTTGGACAAATTATGTCCCCCGCCCCGTTCCTGCCAGTTTTAAAACGGTCATCAGTGTGGGGGGTACTGGGTATCGCCTTTCCCTGGGGTGGCTTCTTCACTGAGGAGAGTCAGGCCTCAGAGGAATTGAGGTCCTTCCTGTGTTTGACCTGTTGGAGGGCACTGACAGTCCCTAATAGTACCCCTGACCCCATCCTTGTTGGGTGCACAAGACACAGGTCACCCTGGGCGGGCAAGGAGTGTTGGTAGCAGGAGAGCAGTCAGTGGATGGATGGCCGAGGACAGTGAAGAAGGGTGTGGATGGGCCGTCTTTTTTGCTTGGAAACGCAAGCTCTGAGGCACCTAGTCACTCTACCACTAAATGGGTACAGGAGGCAGCATTTGTCCAGGCAGCTGGAAAGGCAAGGTATGTGCTGAGTGTTACAGGAGGAAGGCCATTGGAGGTCGCTCCAGGAGCTGCGGGGATTTGCCTCTGCCTAGCAGGGCTGCTCAAGGTGATGGTCGACACCCCACTTTCCTGAGAGCTTGACCCTCAGATGCCAGGGCCTTGGCTGCAGATTCCTTGGGAGCTCCCGGGGATCTTCCAGCAAATAGGAGCAAACCTTTTCCCCGTGGATCAGGAAGGTGCCGGCTCTTTGTGGAGTACCAACTGCTCACCCTGCACAGCAAGCAGCTTATAAGTGGCCCTCCTGCCTGATCTCAGCCCTGGGTTTAAGCCCTGGGTGGCTGCTTACTACTAAAATCGCTTAGATGCTCCAAGCTTGCCTGCAGAGGGTTGGCACGATTAAATGAGGTAACGAGTCAAAAGTCCCTACCCTGAGTCCTAGCCTGTCAGGGGCTCTGAAAACCCAGACTTAGGTCAGTCCTGCCTGGCACCTTGAGGGGTGACAATGTGCTGGCACTGGACATAACCTGTTTCACACATGCGTGCTCTGGTCTGAGGTTGGTCCTCTCCCCCACCCCACCCACCTGCAGTTGAGCAGCTGAACAGCGGCAATGCTGGGGCACTCCCAGGCCTGAGACGACCACACCTGTGCCACTGAGGACCTTCATCAGGGCTCCGTTCACCTGGCCCACTTGGCTGTCCGGTCACTCTCCAGTGTCAACCACTGGCACCCAGCAGCCAAGAGAGGTGAGAGGAGGGCTTGGAGGGGGAGGCGGGACTCCACCCTGTGTGGGACAGTTCTGTCAGTTGATTCTCTACTTGTCCAGGGGCAGTGGATCTGCAGGGGGAGCTCATTCTCAATACTGTTTCTCCTGAGAGACAAACTTCCTGGGCCATTTTGGTTTAGGTGTGGCGTGGCCCTGGGGACCCATGGCTGATGCAGGGACAGGTGAGCCATCCCCCAGCGTGGAGGGCGAGCATGGGACGGAGTACGACACGCTGCCTTCCGACACAGTCTCCCTCAGTGACTCGGACTCTGACCTCAGCTTGCCCGGTGGTGCCGAAGTGGAAGCACTGTCCCCGATAGGGCTGCCTGGGGAGGAGGATTCGGGTCCTGATGAACCACCCTCACCCCCGTCAGGCCTCCTCCCGGCCACGGTGCAGCCATTCCATCTGAGAGGCATGAGCTCCACCTTCTCCCAGCGCAGCCGTGACATCTTTGACTGCCTGGAGGGAGCGGCCAGGAGGGCTCCATCCTCTGTGGCCCACAGGAGCATGAGTGACAATGGAGGCTTCAAGCAGCCCCTAGCGCCCTCAGGCCGGTCTCCAGTGGAAGGCCTGGGCAGGGCCCATCGGAGCCCTGCCTCCCCAAGGGTGCCTCCGGTCCCTGACTACGTGGCACACCCCGAGCGCTGGACCAAGTACAGCCTAGAAGATGTGACCGAGGTCAGCGAGCAGAGCAATCAGGCCGCCGCCCTGGCCTTCCTGGGCCCCCAGAGCCTGGCTGCCCCCACTGACTGCGTGTCCTCCTTCAACCAGGACCCCTCCAGCTGTGGGGAGGGGAGGGTCGTCTTCACCAAACCAGTCCGAGGGGTCGAGGCCAGACACGAGAGGAAGAGGGTCCTGGGGAAGGTGGGAGAGCCGGGCAGGGGTGGCCTTGGGAACCCTGCCACAGACAGGGGCGAGGGCCCTGTGGAGCTGGCCCATCTGGCCGGGCCCGGGAGCCCAGAGGCCGAGGAGTGGGGCAGCCCCCATGGGGGCCTGCAGGAGGTGGAGGCACTGTCAGGGCCTGTCCACAGTGGGTCTGTGCCAGGTCTCCCGCCGGTGGAGACTGTTGGCTTCCATGGCAGCAGGAAGCGGAGTCGAGACCACTTCCGGAACAAGGGCAGCAGCCCTGAGGACCCAGGTGCTGAGGTCTGAGAGGGAGATGGCCCAGCCTGACCACACTGGCCACTGCCATCCTGCTGCCTTCCTAGTGGGGCTGGTCAAGGGGCAGCCTGGCCACTGCCCAGCTGGAGTGGGAGGAAGCCTGCTGGCTGCCTGTAGGTGGCACTGGAGGCCCTGGCTGCAGCTCTGGGTGGCGTCCTCCCGAGCAGAGACCTGCTGAGGCTCCTGGGGTGTGGGGTGTGGGGTGTGGGCTGGAAGCACTGGCTTCCTGGTGGGGACAATAAAGGTTTTGGGTCTTTCTCAGACTTTGTGTATATTTGGGCCCTGCTTACTCAAAGGGGTCTGTCGGCAGCAAGAGGTCCCCACACCTGACAGGGCTGGACCACTCAAGGGTGGCTGACACCTGCATCCCTTAACAGCAGATCACCCAGGTGACAGCAAGAGTTGGCAACCCCAGGCCTCCTCTAGGGCTTGTGGCTCAGTGACAGGTGTCCAGCGAGTACCCTCAATGGGCCTGAGTGGGTCCAGAATCTGCCCTCCCCCAACCAAAGCCCACAGGATGCCATCAGCCCCAGGCCTAGTGCGGACCACAGCTTGGGAGGCGACAGGGAGATGACAAAATGGGTCTGAACAGAGAAGGCTGGGGTGTGAGTGGGCAGTTGGGGGGCTTGGGCAGGTGTTTGACTGAGCCAGGGGTCCAGTTTTATCTGGGTGTTTTCCAGGCTCCACTGGAGATAAAGCAGCCACTGGCACCAACAGGGGCTGTGTCCTAGCGCCATAAACACCAGCGTGTGCTGTACTGGCCATTGGGTGTTGGGGGGACAGCTGACAGACGCCGTGGGTGCCCAGCCCTGTCTTCCAGGAGCCAATCACCTGAGCCCCAAAGGACCTTTTGGGTCTTAAGTGGCAGAAATTCTAACCAGTAGTGTTTCAAAAAAAGATGAGTCTCTTGTCAGGCAACACAAGTCAGGGCAGGGGTGGGTGCAGACCCCACAGCAGCTGCTCAGTCTGGATGGGGGTGCTCCCCCGTCGCACCGCAGGGCCAGCTTTTCTGCGGTGCAGGCTGGTCAGTTTCCAGGTAGGGTTACGGTGGGGCACATTTTCTGCCCGGGGAGTTGTGCCTGTCAGGGTAGACAGCCCCATGACACTGCGGTGCCCCCAGGGAGGCCAGGAGGGACAAGGAGCGGTTCCTTTGGGTGAGGGTCTGGTGAGGCACCAGGAGGGCCATTGTCTGCTGGGGGGTCTGCTGCCCCCTGGGGGTTCCGCTGGAGGTCGGCAAAGGTCAGTGCACAAGACCCAGGGTGGCCTGCTGAGGTGAGGTGGCCCCACATATGGCAGGCCAAGCAGCTTAGGTGTCCGAGGAAGGCTGGCCAGCCCCGGGTTGTTCCTGGCCATCTAAACCCCCTCTGTGGTCAGAGGCCACCAGCCGGCTTCCCCCGCCACAGTGTCGAGAGCCTGCTGGGAAGGAAGGCCCCCCTGAGCGGTGGGAGCCAGCGGGGCAGGCCCAGGAAGGGGAGAGGTAGCTGGCTCAGAGGCAAGGGCCAGGATGCCATGACTCCCAGAGTGAGTCCCCACAGGCCAGCCTGGGGAAGATGGGGAGCCCAGAGACAACCAGGCCTCCGCCTGCACTCCTGGGACTAGGAAAGCAACTCCCGTGAGGCTGAGGGGCCCTTTTGCCCCCTGAGCAGGACAGCCCAGTAGGGCCTGTGCCAAGCAGAGCCTCAGGAGTCTGAGTGAACCACATTTGACCCTGGCCGAGGCCGGGGCTCCATCAGAGGGTTCCCACACCGCCCTGAAGAACCGTGTCCAGCCAAGGCCTCCTGAGACTCCCAGGCCAGGCAGGGAAGGCAGAGTACACAGCACAGCCTACGGCCCCCCACCTGCTCCCACCCAGCTGCTGCAGGGTGGGTGCCCATGCCCACCCTCATCCCACGCTCCCCAAACAGGCTTACTCCAGGGGCTGCCACCCTGGGCCAGCATGTCAGCCACAGAGGACACGAGCACCGAGCAATAGTTGATCTGGAGGAGGGAAACATGTCTGGGAAGCTCCAGGGCGCTCAGGACAGCAGGGGACAGGCAACCTCCCCATCTCCCCTCTCCTGCCAGGGCCCCGCTGCCCCGGGACTCCTCCCTCTGGGAGCTGCCACTCAAAGGCAGGGGTGGGTGAGGCTCCCGTGAGGCATGTAGAGTGAAACGCGAGGGGTTGTGAATGTGACACCCTCATTTAAGGCTGTGGCCTCTCAAGTGGCAGGGTGGGAGCAGGCACAGGTGGGACGGCCCCCTTCCCCAGGACCTTCCTCCACCCACTGGGGTGCTCCTGTCCTGGCTCTGGTCTGGCTCATTTCTGTGAACGACCGAGTAGGGCTGTGGGCAGGTCCCAGTGGCCCCACGCGGCCACCCGCCTCCCGTCAGGGAGAGGAGCTCCGGGGCTTGCTTGCCTGTGACTCCAGATGCTTGATGCGTTTTTCTTGCTCCCTCAGCCCCCCAAGGTACTTGGCAACGAAGTCCACTCTGCAGCAGGAGCAGGCGGGTAGCTGTGGATGGCCACGCAGCACTCCGCGTGTGGGGAGCCTCCCCATCCCCTCAGGCCTCCCTGTGTGCCCGAGTCTGGGTGCCCTGGCCCTTTCCCTTCCCCCCTCATGCCCAGATCTGGTGGCACCAGGACCCCTCAAAGTGCACCTGGCGCAGGTACAGAGCGCTCTGTGCTTTCCTGGTAGGGCTGGGGTGCCGTCCCTGCCTGGGCACACCACCCAGCAAGACGGTACAGGGCAGGCAGTCGGGAACAGGCCCCTGCAGCCAGGGCTGGAGGGAAGCCGGGGTGGGGAGTCCCACTCCTGAGACCACAGCAGGGAGGGCCCCACGGTCACTGTGCACGCTCCCTTTTCGCCTGGCCGGGCATCCCAGCAGGGTCCTGCACAGGTCAGGCTGGAAAGCGAGGCCCTTGGGCTTGGCCAGGGCCCTGCCCCTACCCGTTCAGCTTCGGCTCCCCAGCTCAGATCCTCTGTCACTGACGCCAAGGGCACATCCCCGCTTAAAGGCAGCCCGACACCCACCAGTGATCAGGACAGGCCCCCGCACCTGTTGGCGGTTTTCCGCAGCACTTCCCCCTCGCTGTCCCTCTTCCGCTTCTCCATCTTGCTCAGGAAGTTCTCCTTCTGCACTGTCTCCCAAGTGACGACCTTCTGGTCCAGGGGGTCTGGCAGGTCTCTCTCTGGGAAAGCGGGGCGGCAGTCAGTGTGGCTAGAGCACATGGGCCTCAGTGGCAGAGCCCAGGCCTGGTCCCGGGGCAAGGTAGGCCCGGCAGGAGTGAGTGGGGCCCAGCCAGGGGATGGAGGGCGAGAACAACCCTGTGCAGGGACGGCCAAGCTGCAGAGGGACGGGCTCAGCGGTGCCAGCCTGCACAGAGCCCAGCCGAGGACCCACGGGGCTGAGGAGGGGCCCAGGTCTCTCCAGACCCGCCTCCAGCGCACAGCCCCGCCCTGGGACCCACCGCCCCGGCCTCACCCAGGTGCTCCCGCTTGTGCTCGGCCTCCTTCTTGAAGACCCTGCGGAGAGCCAGGCTCAGGTGGCTGAGCAGGATGAAGGGCGGGGCCAGGGCGGGGCGCTCGTGGTACTCCACAATCAGGTTGTAGCGCTGGAACTTCCAGAACATGTCTGCGTTGCCCTGCACCACCTGGAACGTGTAGCTGCAGGGGCACAGCCGAGCCGTCACCTACCGGCTCCCCATGCCCACCTGGGGGACGCATCCCACCTGTACCCTGATTGCTGTTGGGGAGCCCTTTTTGAAACCGAGGCCCAGCACTGCTTCTGCACTCTCCTTGGGTCTTCCCCTGTCCGCTCTGCTCTCCTGGACAAGCCCAGAGTTCTCGCCGCAGCACCCGTCCCCCAAAGACCCAGGCCCTGCTTCCTGGGACCAGGAGGGTGGCCCACAGAGTTCGAGGTCTTGGGCAGGCAAAGCCCCGCAGTCCAGGCTGTGCCGCCTCCTATCTGCCCTGGGGCACCAAGCCCCACCCTCTGCGGCGCAGCAGGTGGACCGCGGAGACGGCGGTGTTGGGGAATGACCCTCTGCTCCCTCTGCTCCCTCCGCTCCCTCCGCTCCAGGGCGCTCTCCTCCGGGGGTTGGGTGGAGTCACCTGAACATGGCGATAAGCAGGTTCATGAGCAGCACGTTGGTGACCAACAGGAAGGTGACCAGCAGGAGGATGACCAGCCAGTTGGCGTAGAGGCTGGGGCAGGATGGCGAGTCCTCCAGCAGCAGTGGGTGGGTGGAGCAGTTCACACGGGCTTCTGGAAGGCAAGGGTGCCGTGGGGAACACCGTGGGGACCAGACCAGGGGCAGCCACAAGGGCGGCCTCAGGCAAACGCCCTGAGGTAGAGAGCTTAGTCTCAGTGTTGAACCCAGGGGACACAGGTGCTAGTTAGGTGACCCACTGTCCCAGTTCACCCAGGATGGCCTAGGTTTTAGCACCGAAACCCCCATCACAGCAAACCAGAACCAGACAGGTGGTGAGCCCCATCCTGGGCCCCCTCTGCCATGTCTGCTGGGCTTCCACCAGGGACTGGAGTCAGCCAGGGCCACAGGCCCTGGAGGTAGAGCCAAGACCCCTGGAGGGATGGAAGGTGGGGGACAGAGGGGTCACGGGACACAGGTTTCTGCCGGTTGTTGCGTGTGTTAAAACCTCCACCCCTCATCCCAAAAAAGCCTGTGCTGTTGAAGGTTTGGGGAAGCTGCTGAGGAAAGGGAGATGGGGTCCTTAATGCAGGACGTCTCAGAGCCGTTACAGCACTAACCCCTGTGATCATACTCCAAGCTGGGCAGTAATTCCGCCACCTTTCCAAACTGTATTGCGCCAGCAGGCTCCAGCCAGGGCTCGCTGCAAGCCCTGAGGGCACCGATCCCACACTGGGCCACTCAAGTCAAGAACATTCTTCAGGCAGTGCACTCTGGGAGCTGGCAGGCTGAGTTCCCTCGGCCCTGGGCAGGGATACCCTGGAGGCGCAGCAGATCTCACTCCAGTCCCGTAAAACCAGAACCTCACACCGGCTTCTCCATTGCAGGGCTCAGCCTTGGACCCCCACCCCACCCCAGCCTGCAGGGCAGGAGGAGGGAGGAGGGAGCCACAGTGGGAGTCAGGGTACTCAGGGTCCCAGCCAGAGGCCAGAGCATGCTCCGGCCATCTGGGACCACATATCCCCTCCATATCCTAATGGGAGCTCCGCTCTCTCCTCCCTCCCCAGCCTGCACGCTAGGTTGTGTCTGTGTGAGCCTGTACATGTGTTTGGATGTGCCTGGCACACATGCTCATGTGTGAGTCTGTGTGAACACACTGGCACACACACAGGCACATTCAAGTGTGTCTTGGTGCCTGCCAGCTCCAGGTTGCCCTGTGGTGGGTTCTGGGGGTCTCCCTGTTCCCAGGTTCCTGCCTCTGTGCCTGGGTCCTGAGCTGGAGGAGTCCGTTCTCCTTCCTGGGGTGAATTCCTGCCTTGTTTCTCCCGAGTGAGTTATTGTGACACATTGGCCCGTGTGTGAGTTATTGAGTGTTTGTGTGTGCACTGGCAGCCAGTGAGCACCAGCCCTCCCCACGCTCCCACCCCAGGCCTGCCCCTCCTCTGCCCGCCCTGGCCACCTCCAGCCCATGAATCTGTTCCTGGGCAGACTGATGACCCCTCTTGTCCCTGCACTCTGGAGGAGCGGGCCAGGGCCAGCCTGGAGAGCCTGTTTGTGAAGCCGTAAATCTGTCTGATAAAAGCAGCTCTGAGGAATGAGACCCCCACACCCTCCCCGACTCTGTGATTTGGGAAGGCGCCACCAGGCCGGGCTGGAAATTAAATTGTCCCTGGGGCCTGGAGCCCCAGAGAACAAGCTCATCACCACAGCTCAACCCCAGCTCCAGCTTGGCACGAGTGCAGAGTGGGGCAGGGGGCTGTCCTGGGCTCTGAGGAGACCTGCAGGCTGTGCAGAAACTGTCTGAGCCTCAGTCTCCCTCTCAGCCCAGCGTGTGTGAGTGACTCTCTGCCCAGCAGCAGAGGGGCTCACAGTGAGTGGCTGGGTTCAGCCTGAAGGGCCCAGACATTTGCTTGGCAGCTGAACTGACCCCAAGGAATTGCAGCTCAGAGAGGGGAAGTGACACATCTGAGACTCAGTGTGCGGCCGGGGCTGGCCCTGTTGTAGGCGTTTCAGCACAGGGTTCTGAGATCCCAGCAGCACCGCAGACCTCCCTGAGAGATCCCAGCAGCACCGCAGACCTCCCTGGGGCAGCACTCGGAGCAGGCTCCTTGGGAGTCTGTTTCCCGCCTTCTCCCATCGACAAGGAGGCCATGGCCAGGCCTGTCTCCCCATACGGGTGTCTGGGACTGGCCCGCCAGAGAGGCAGCCACTCAAGAAAGGGGGGACCCCCAACCCTGCCCCGGCTGGAGGCGCCTGTCTAGAGCTCCTCCTGCCCCGAGGGGCCCCGCGGACAGGGCAGTGTTGGAGACCATATGGTGAGGGCGAGGTGGGGTCGCAGGCAGGCAGGGTCTGGTTAAACTAATGGCCTGGAAAATGAATGCCTGTGATGAGCAAACACCAAAATGTCAGGAGGGGCTGCGGGGGCTAAGAAAACAGCCCAAGGAAATGAGCCGCGCTGGGAGAGGCGATTTCCATCACGGCGTCGCCCATGCCTGTCCCGGAGGCCTGTGTTTGCTCCGGTCTGGCCGTCATCCCATCAACAAATATTTATCGCAGATCCTGAGCGCCACTCCACAGAGGTCAGGGTCAGGCCTGGGCAGCACGTTGTGCCATGACTGCCCCATGCTGGGCAGCCCCAGCCGCCTGACACCGCCTGAACAATGTTTCCAGCACCTTCTCTGCTGGATCTCCAAGCATACGGCACCCCTCGAGGGCCCCAGGGGCTGGCTGGCTGCTGGCCCACCTTCCCAGAGGTGTGCGTCCCCTCCCAGGTCGGGGCTCCTCACTGAGTCCCAGCCATCCCAGGGGACTGCACAGGTCCCTGCCCCATCCCTGAGCTTCCCCATCCCTGAGCTTCCCACCAACCCATCAGCACAGAGGCCCCCATGGCCAAGTGGCTCTGTCCCCTCATCCCGCCCTCCCCACTGCACTGGCTTATGAAAAAGTTTCCAGAGCCTCCACCAGCCCTAGCCAGCTACAGGGGTCGGCCTGGGGACACCCACAGGCACGGACAGGCCACACACACACGTTGGGGTGGGTCCCCAGGAGCAGCCAGGGTGCCTTTAGGAGTGGCCGCATGGTGGAAGGACGGCATAAGGGCTCTGGTGGGTGGGTGGGTGACGGGGCACCTAGGTCAAGCAGGGCCCTGTGGGAGAAGGGCAGAGGCCAGGGGCCGTGAGGAGAGCCAGAGGGCCCAGACCCTGGACGATAGCTGGGACAGCCTTTGGGCCCACTCTGTGCCCTTAGTGACTGCCCATCCCTTCGCCCCCGATAGACCACCGCCAGAGCAAGACTTGCCGCTTGGCCTTCCCAAGCAGGAGGCCAGTCCTGGCTGCCTTGGGGTCTCCTTGTGTCTCCTTCCCAGCCCAAGGCCCCAGGTCGGGGCTCCGTGACTGGAGCTGCCTCTGCCTCGGGAACCAGGCCTGGCCCTTTGGGGTGTGGGGGGCCTGGGGACCAGGCCTCAGCCACTTTTCCCATCTCTGCCCCAGGCTGGGGTCTCCCTGGCCCCAGCAGACCACTCTGGAGAGACTAGTGCCCAGGGCTTGTGCACACAGGGCTCCACTTGCTCCCCGCCCCGCCCCCGCTGGCTGTGTGCAAACCATCGATCTCGTCCAGTGGGATCTGCCCGAAGATCTGCAGGTAAGGCCGGTAGAGCACCCGGCGGAAGATCCACTCCAGGCGGCCGTCATGGGGGTGCAGCAGCGCCTGGGTGGTGACGCCGTAGGCCACGAGCCACACGCTCAGAAAGAAGAGGAAGAAGAAGACGTCCTTCATCTCCACAGGGTGGGGCAGAAAGAGGGGCGTCAGCGGCCAGCCAGGGGCCCGGGCAGGGGCTGTCTGTCCCTCCAGGGCCAGGCCCGGGGCTCACCATGCGCTCCACCACGATGATCTTGGGGCCCAGCTGCTTGTGTATGGCAAAGATGTGGATCAGCCGCAGCGTGAACACCATGAAGTCCATGGCGAGGACTGTGCGGCCGGCCTCAAACGCCAAGGGCAGCATCCTGGAGGGTGGGAGGCTGATGCGGCTGCGGGGCCCAGAAAGGGGCAGAGGCTTCCCCAGGGGCACACAGCATGCTGGGTGTGGGTGGGGCCAGGGCCAGGCCAGGACTCCTGAGGCCCTGAGTGGCTTCATCTTTTGTTTATTTATTTTTAGCAGACAGGGTCTTGCTCTGTCACCCAGACCGGAGTGCAGTGTCGTGATCACAGCTTGCTGCAGCCTCAAATTCCCTGGCTCAAGTGACCCACCCACCTCAGCCTCCTGAGTAGCTGGGACCACAGGTGCCACGACCACGCCCGACCTGAGTGGCTTCATCTGGAAGCCTGCCCACAAGCCCCCCTGAGGCCACACGGCCTCTGGGCCCCACAGACCTGCAGGTGACACCCACGATGAACAGGAAGATGGCCACCATGTCACACTTGTTCCAGTTGTCCCCCACATACAGTGTGAACTTCTTCAGCAGGTGTGTGTCCTCATCTGTGAAGAAGCCCTGGGAGGGAGGCAGGCAGTCCACTGATAGCTGTCCAGGCCCCCTCGCTGGGGACAGCCCTACCTGGACAAGCTCAGATCTGTAAGGATCAGGGTTCAGTGTGCCATGGGGATCGGGGTTCCATCTATGACCAGGGCCCAGGCTACCAGTGGGACTGGGGGTCCACTGAAGCTATTCCAGGGCTGTCTGGGGACAGAAGCTGAGGTCAGTCTTCACTTGGAGTCAGGGCTTTTTGTGCCCAGAGTCTAGGGATCAGTTTATTCAGTGTCTGGACTCAGTCTGTGATACAGGTCAGGGTTCAGACTCTGATGAAGGAGACCATGGTCATGCTCGGTCTGGAGCAGGGATGAAGGCTCAGTCTGGAGCAGGGCTCAGGGCTCGGTCTGGAGCAGGGCTCAGGGCTGGGTCCTTGACCAGGATCATGGCCACTGGTGACTGGGAAGGTGGGAGGCCCCATGCTGTTCTTGTTCTACAGATGGGTAGCCCCACCCCGAGAGGGCAGGACCCAGCTTAGGTTGCCCAACCTGAAGCTGCAGAGTGGAGGGGACCCAAGCTAGTGTGGCCACCTACCTGCCGGATTTCCTCCAGCACCAGTGTAAAGACCCAGAAGTAGAGAGTGACCTCGGGCCCCGAGGGTCCCTGGGGGGGCGGCCTGAAGTCCAACAGCAGGACATAGGTGAACAGGAAGAGGAAGGCGAAGTACATGACCACATTCCCCAGGAACACAGTCACGGGAGCGCCCCAGAACTTCCGCCAGCGTGTGAGCAGGAAGACAGCACGCGGGCCTCGGCCACCCTGAGCCCTCGGCGCCTCCACCATCTCCTCTACCCTGTGCCGCAGAGAAGGCCGCAGCGGTGAGGCTGGCGCCCAGCTGGGTGCCCCACCACAGTCCAGCCTCCCAGCCACCACCCACCGGTCCCCTCCACTCTGCCCGGCCCTCTGCCTCGCACCGGCTGTGCAGGCCGTACAGCAGACTCTTCTCCGTGTCCAGGCTGTCCAGCTCCTGCAGGTCCTCCAGGCCTGTCCTCAGGGAGGCTTCCTCACTGCAAGCACAGGAGAGCTCAGGGCCTGCAGGAAGGACTCCCAGAGGCGCCTGCGTGGCTCCGGGCGCTTGGCCATCAAAGTGCCCACTGGGTGCAAGGACTGTGGGGAGTGGGACCTGCAGGGAGTCTGGACTTGGGGGCTACAGAGTCAGGCTGCCACTAGCACCAGCGAGGCCCAGGCCCTCCCTGTGGTTCCAGCACATGCACTGGTACCTGCCCCAGCCAGCAGGCAGCCCACAGGCCCGACCCACCTGAAGGTGATGAGGTTGGTATAGACGAGGGCGGGGCAGAAGAAGGCTCCTAGCAGCCGCAGAATGGGCGTGCCCGCAGCCATGTCCCCCCACCAGATCCTGGTCAGGAAGGCCTGAGGTGAAGGCAAAACTGTTGGCTCCACCTCTGCACCTTCGTCCAGGCTATGCCCTGCCCCAGGAATGCCCAGGTGCCTGGCCCACGTGAGCTGAAGGGGCGCCCAGCCCAGCATTCCCTCCCGGAGCCCCTGTCCTGGTGGGGGACATGCTCCTCGGGACGCTCATCGCAGGGGTGTGGGTTGAGCTGCTGTGCCCTTCACTAGGGAAAAGATTGGGCTTGGTGGTTGGGAAGGACTGAGAGGAGGAAGTGGCACTTCCGCTGAGCCCAGAGGCAGGAATGTGCCTGGTGGAGGAAGCCAGGGGGGCGCCTTCCAGAAACAGAAGCCCCACCCCACTCCCCTGTGCTGGGGACGGGAGTGACAGGGCAGCTGCAGGCTGCGAAGTCAACTCAAGCTGGGCCCAGCTCGCCTGCCAGCCCTGCCCCCTGGCAGCTCTCCCCCAGGCCAGCTGGCACTCACCTGCACACCATCGTGGGCAAAGAAGGCCTTGGCGTCCGCCTCGGTGGCCAGGTGCAGGCAGGTGGTCTTGCTCCAGCAGCGGTTCCGGCGCACCAGCAGGGCGAAGGCGAGGTCCTCACTGTTGCTGTAGCACTCAGAGAAGAGGTCTGCCCCCGGAGACCCTGGCCGCTAGGACAAGACACCGATGCCCGGCCCCCAACGCCCCTCCTCCATCCCCCGCCCAGACCTGGGGTCTGTGGCCGCACCCTGTGTTCACCTCCCAGGGCCCAGCCAGGCCTTCTGCCCCCGCCTGGCCTGCTCTGGACTCTTCCTGACCCTTTGTCCTTCTCTGGCTCTTTCCCTCCCCCAGCAGGATGAGGGGGTCTCCGCCGCCCTGAATGTCCCTTGTCCCGCGGCAGGGCCCAGTGCATGCCTGGGGCGTGAGGCTCTATCTTCCTCACCACGTGCCCAGCGGTCCCACACTCAGGGTCTGGGGCCGCCTCCACCCCAGGCAGAGCCGTCTGTCCTCTCCTACAGAGGAGGCCACTGAGGGTACCTGGAGCCCCACAGTGGTAACAAGCGGCCCTGGCGAGGCCCAGGACCCTTTGTCTGACCCTCTATCACATCCTCCCCCGACACGCGGGCCTGGCCCCGGCCGGTCACTCACCCAGGGCCAGCTGCTCGTACTTCGCCTCGCGCATGGCTCGGGCCGCCTCGGCCTCCGTCTCCAGGTGCGACATCTCTTTGAGGATTTTGCAGGCAGCCAGAGCGGCTGCCACACCTTCCTGGCCCTAGGAGACCCGGTCTCAGGAGGCCGTCCCTCCCCCGCCCCCACGCTGGGCCCGCGGCCTCGGCTCACCATGGCCCAGAAGTAGGTGGCCATCTCGTGGCGGTTCTGCAGCACGGCCCACAGGAAGAGGTCCCGCCAGGGGTTCTCACTCTTCTGGTTCAGGTCCAGCAGCCACTTCTGGCCTGTGGGCTGCTTGGCCGGGCCCTTCTCCTGGAGGACATGGGCGTCGGCCTCCCACTGTGGCCCTTGTCTCACCCCCCGTTCCCTGGAGCCCCGCTCACCGCCTTCCTGCGGCCCCCCGGCCGTCCGTCCTGGTAGAATCCTCGGCAGGCGTCCTGCAGGAAGTCCTTGAGTACACGGGAGACCTCGTGAAGGGAGAAGGCGGGTGGCCCCGTGGGTGGCTCCCGGGCCTGCTGGGCACCCAGGCCAGCCAGCGTCAGCCGGGCCTCCTCCTGCTTCCGCTGCAGCAGGTCGAAGAGCAGGCTCTTGGGCGACACGGAGCGGTAAAGCTGCTGCAGCCGCCCATACGTCAGGAAGTCAGCCACGTCCGCGCCGTTGTCCACAAAGAGGCGCACAAACTCGGGCTTGTTGCTGACCAGGGCGTCCACCATCACCTCCTCCAGGTCACAGGACTTGGTGGCCATGGAAACCCAAGGGAAGGGGGGCAAGAGAGTGAGTGAGAGACAGGAGGAGGGGGGCCCAAGGAAGGAGAGAGCAGGGAGCGTAGGGACCTCATCCCCAGGGCCAGGTCACGCAGACCCTTGCGCTCTCCTGCACCCCAGCCTGCCCCCTGAGTTGGGGCGAGCACAGAGGGGCCAGTCGTGAGAAAATGCTGAGGGTGTCACGACCGCCTTGGGCTTCGGGGACAGCTGGCACCCAGCCGGCTCTGCCTGGGCCAGCGAGCGAGGCAGAACCCCGGGCGGAACCGTGTGGCCTGGTCTTGCCCCAGACTTTAGGACAGTTGGGCAGAATGGGCTCAGCCAAGCAGCCCGCAGGGTGCAGAAGCAGGCAGCGTAGGCAGCTTGGGCAGTG